CATTTCCTGGTATCTTCACAGAAGAGGTTGTATTTAAACAAGGTCTTCAAGGGTGAGTAGATACTCACCAGACAGAAAAGGGGATAAGGGTGCGCTCCACACCCAGGGAATACCAGGCACCGAGGCATGGAAGGATGAAAAGACACAGCAGAGCCAGCATGTAGCAAGAGACTCTGCATGACAGGGAGTCTAAGGTTGGACTCCATTGTTAGGCAATGGATAGAGATGAGACCAGAGAGGTAGTCTGGAGTCATATGGTCAGTGGCCTTAGAGGACATGTTGAGGAGGGTGTACTCTACCTTACAGGTAAGAGAACTGAGCAAAATTTAAGAAGCAAGGAGTGACAAGTCAGACATATTGATGGGAACACAACATTAATGCCACTGGAGAGGGCACAAGGAACCACACAGGAGAATAAGAAATCTGTGTTGGTGTAAAATGATATCTGAGGGCCTGATCAAGGACTGTGTTGGTGGAACTGGAAAAGAAGAAAGACCTTGAGGGATTATAAAGAGGTAGCCCTGCCAGAGCCCAGCACCTGAACAAGGGATTGAAGCAATGGGTGGAAGGTGAGGACAGCAAGATTTATGATTTAGTGAACAGGACAAAGTGGGGGTTGTTGCCTTTAGAGAAGAGAATGAACAGCAGAATCCTGGTAAAAATGGATCCTTACCAAAGTGTAAATCATAGTTTGTCACTTTTGTGGCTCCAAACCCTCTCACAGCTTCTCATGTCATTCAGAGTCACAGCCAACATTTTCAGCACAGATGGCAAGTTCCCATATCATCGGGCCATGGCTTTCTGCTCTCATCCCTTCTGTTCTCAACTCTCTCACTTCACACCAGGTATGCTGGCCTCAGGGGCTCCTCCTCAAATACACCTCAGGGACTCCACTATTCCCTGTGTCCAGAACATTCTTCCCACAAGCATCTGGCTTGCTCCTACACCTCCGTAAGGTCTTTGTTTAAATGTCACTTGGAGAGAGCCTTTTACAACCACCCTAATTTGCAATCTCCCACCCTACCGACCTTACAGTGCCCTCTTACTTTATGCCCCTACCCGTTTTCCCTTCCAACATTCATTTTTTTTTTTTGGTTTTCTTTTTCTTTCTGCTCCTTCCTCTACCCCTGCCTCATAAGAAATAAACTCAAAGAAGGAGGAACCTTCTGAGGGTTTTTACAACTTCATCTCTAATGCCTAAAACATTACCTGCACAGGGCAGGAGAGCTAAACACAGGTGTTCACTGCAGTCAGTAATGAATGAATATGGATCATGTTGGGTTAGATGCCCCTGAAAGACTTTTAGGCAGAGCCACCCAACAGGTAGTTGGAATTGGTAGCGCTGGAGGTCACAGGGGAAAGCAAGGTTTGAGAGAGATGTGTGGGATTGTGGGGATGAAAGCACAGCAATCCTAGAAGCACCAAAGAGATACAGTAGGATGATACTCAGAGTCAGATCCTGGAGTCAGACAGCCTGGACTCAAATCTGGGTCTTGACACTTCTTGCTCATTATAAGCCTTGAACAAAAATTTAAACCCTTCTGTGCTTCCCATTTTCTCATCTCTAAAATGGGATTAAAAAAAAATCTGCCTCAGAGGATGTAAATGAGCAAGATGTGGTAAGATGTAAATGAGCAAATACATGTAAAGCATGGAGAAGAGCAAGCAGTGCTAAAACCCAGTGCGTGGAAAGTACAATAACTGTAAGCAAGGGGCCATACTTAGGAGAGAGGCATTTTCTCAGGATAGGAGAGAGAGCATTCGTGTATCTGGAAGCCAGGATTTGTTTTTGGACTATCTAGTTCTTCATCTCTTTGTGCTCTGTGGTAAACCTACAGAAGTTCTCTCCAATTTCTACCTCGGGTTTGTTGTTGTTGCTTTGTTTCTTTTCTCCACGGTCTTATCAGAAAAAAACAAAAAAATGTCTCTGAAGGTGTTTTGAGTCTGAGCATGGTATTCTGGGAGGCATACAGCGTGGCAGAAAGAGCACGGGACTTTGGAGTCAGGTAAATGTGGGCTTGAACTCCACCTCTGCCGCTCAGATACAGAGCTTAGTCTGGATCTAAAGAGAAATTTCTAGAAGAGGAAGATATACTACCTACCTGAACCCTGAAGCCTGAAGAAGAGCAGTTGCTAGCTGAACGCACATTTGTGGCACAAATGCACAAGGGAGTTGTGAGGACTGAATGTAAGAACCACACCGTGAGGGTCAACATACATACCCAACAGGGAAGCTGCAAAAAGTCTTGCTTTTGTGACTGGCAGCTGGACTGGCATTGCTGTGGCCACAGCCTATTTAAAGGGACCTGATGTCAACTCTAAACTTTCTATTTATTCATGTCATTAAAAAAGTAATTTCACTCCGTCTTTTAAGAGAATAGATTTCCACTAAGGGTCTGTTGAAGCACTAACCCTTATTATAAGGTGTACTTAAAGTGATTAGATATTGGTATCAGGCTTGTTGTAGGTCTTGGAAAGATAAAAGAGCAGCCTTGATAGTTGTTGTTTGCCTCTGAGTTTCCTTTTATCCCCCGGTGTAGGGCTGGCTCTAAGCACAGCTGCTGATAACCTTTGTGTTTAATTCTTCATGTACTATTACTACTACTTGCACCATACCGAAGCCGTAAGACTCAGTAGCTGCTTTAAAAGAGTGTATGCAATCATGCACCAGATGGTTTCCATCTATGAAAACAGCAATAAGGATTTAAGAACTGATTGCATTTTGTAGGTTTGTTTTAAGGATCCTTTCAATAATTTTTATTTCTAATTATCAAAGAATACATGTTCATTTAAGACAACCTAGAAAACTAGAAAAGCTCAAAAGAGAATACCCTACCACACTGGCATATAACATTTCTGTATAAATGCTGCAAACATTTCCCAATGCCATCTTCCGGAGGAGGAGTGTATATGTATAAAAATAAAATTAAAAGCATATTAAACATTATCATATAACCTGCTTTTTTAAATTAACTAATATATGCATTAATTCACTCATCCATCCAAGCAAATTAATTAAATACCTACTAGGTGCCAGGCACTGTACAAAGTACAGGGGATGAGGGAGACGAGCATAAAAATAAAATCACTAGGGATCCCTGGGTGGCGCAGGGGTTTGGCGCCTGCCTTTGGCCCAGGGCGCGATCCTGGAGACCCGGGATCGAATCCCACGTCAGGCTCCTGGTGCATGGAGCCTGCTTCTCCCTCTGCCTGTGTCTCTGCCTCTCTCTCTCTCTGTGTGTGTGTGTGTGTGACTACCATAAGTAAATAAAAAAAATTAAAAAAAAATAAAATAAAATCACTGAAATAATAAAAGTACATACAAAGTACTACGATGCACACAAGAAGGAGCAGAGACAAGCCTCTATGCTGTAGAGGTGTCAGGGAACATCCTACAAGAGATGACACGTTACTAACAGGTAACAGAAGTTCACCAAGGAAGGGAGGAGGCAGGGCAGCAGAGGATGTAGCAAGAAGGCCCACATATGAGACTGCCGGGCTAGTCTGAGGCCCTGCCAAAGTCTAGTGTAGGTAACAAGATGAAAGAGTTGGGGAGATAAGGCTAGAAATGCAAGAGCCAGGCAAAAAGCAGCCACTGCTATGTTTGAAGCAGGGGGTTGACATGCTCAGATTTGTGTCTTGGTTAGAATATGTGCTATAGCTCTAAGGGTTAAGAAAGAAGGACAAAGAGGAAAAACTACAGCAATCCATAAAAGGACTGATCCAGTGAAAGACACTAAAGATCTAATGAGAATGGAGATGACAGATAACGTCCTGGAATGGATAGTGAACTGGAAGTCAAGAGACCTGGATTCCAGATGAGTAAACATCTTTCCTGTCTCCATTCTGCAGTTACTGAGAACTAGCCATATGCAAGTGCATGTCAGGTGCTAGAGAAACAAAGATGAGGGGGCCCAATTCTTATCCCCAAGAGCTTACATTCTAGTAGGAAAGAGTAGGTGAACATGTACTATTAGGGCCTGCCCAACATGCCTTCTTCTCTTTCTCTGGAAATAGGACTCCAATTTTCCTATGGAAAACCGTCCATCTCTGACTCATAGTCTATGCAGTTTGAGTGGAAATGGTGTAAATAGTCATATTTGAACCCAACTCCACAAGTAGGTGCATGAACGAGGCTCAGCAAATAGGAGCATCTCAGTACCCCCAACACAATGATTGGTTCAAGAATGGGTACAGAACTCTAACCGGACCAACAGGATCACTCCCAGGGAAATCAGAAGATGGAACCAGAAAAAAAGAAATGGCTATCTTCTTCTAAGATCCCATGCGCTTAAGACCACATACCTAGGCTAAAAGAGTCCACCTACACATGCTAGCAGGTAGAGCCCATCGAGCATAAAATCACACAGAGAGCCAAACCATTACACAGAGAAAAGCAGTGATCAGATGATACCTTTTGAGAAGCTGGATTCAGGCCATGTACTCCTAGACATCTAAATTAAGAAAGTCAATAAATTCCCTTTTGCTACAATGAGTTTGGGTTTTTATCACTTGTATTTGAAAGAATACTGACTACTTCAGCAATACTATGTAATAATCACAACAGAGGTATTTATAAGGTACAAGTAGCACAAAACACAGTGCAGTCAAGTCTACCTTTAGGTAAAGTAAGTCAAGGAGGTGATGTTTTTTTGGGTTTTTTTTGTTTGTTTTGTTTTTTAAGGAGGTGATGTTTAAGTGAAGTCTTGAAGAATTAGCCACCTGGCAACAAGGAAAGAGGCCAAAAGATATTCTATGCAGAAGAAACAGAATGAGCAAAAGCAAGGAAGTAGAAGAAAGCATGGAATGTTTGAGGAAGAAAAAAGCAGTCCACTGTGCTAAAGCAGAAACAGATCATGAAAGAACTGGTATGTTCTGTGGGTGATGAGGAGTCACTGGATGACCAAATCAGACCATTTCACTTCTCATTTAACCTCTCCAGACCACAGGTACTTCTTAGAGCAAATCAACACAAATTGATAAAAAAATTAAAAACTTACCTGCTGATAGAATTCATCATCCTTGGGGGTCAGATAAGGAAGCCAAGTATCTTCAAGCTCTTCAAGAAGCCTCAATTTCTGTTTAGAAATAATAATGATTATAGGTGACTGAATATAAAGTAAGTAGAATATAAAACAACCCCTTATTTTTCCAGTAATATCAAGAATAATTTAGCCAACCTGAATACATAAAAGATTTAGGGACAGAAATTAGCCAAACACATATTATAAAATATATTAAATTAATTACATATATTTAAATTATACATTGTATGAAGCATTAATTTAGAAATAATGACTTTTTTCACTCTCATATTCCATGAAACAATTTGATTCACCAAACTTGACATGTTTCTTTAACAGCAGGGTCTTCCTCATCACTGGAATCACCTTTTAGACATCTTATACAGTTTTCCAGAGCAAACCTTCCTGTCTACAAAATCTGCTGGAGACATAGCAGTTTCTGAATCCTTCTAAGACACTAACACTGGAAAAACCAAATCAAACCACAGTATCCATTTACAGAATGTCAGGATATTTGGAAGATTTATTCATCCTAAACATTTATTTGATATCATATCCACATATGTATTCCTTTTTAAATAATTTTTAAATTACTTACATCTCTAGAAAAATCACTAATTCTGTGTTAAGCATCTTTGTTTCTTTTCTTTTCTAATTTTATGAAGAAAAACGTTTTTAAGCATACACAGCAAGAATGGATAGTGAACTGGAATGTCTGAGGCCATTTCTGTGTCTTCCCAAATAGTAACATACTATTCAAAGTAATCAGGTGAGAACCTCAAATTATAAAGTACTTTATAAAGAACTGAATACATATAAGGTGACGCTCTCCTTCTAAGGGATTTTTTTCAAAGAATACCTATGTAATCTACAAACATGTGTCTGTGTGTGTGTGTGTGTGTGTGTGTGTGAGCCCACATGGCATATAAATGGCATTATGTGTGTGTATATATAGACACACATTTCGCATAGGAATTACCTATAACTACAGAAAATTTCTCGAAAAAAAAAAGAAGAGGTAGAAACAATTGATTTTTAAGTAAAACTGCAATAAAATGCATATTCAGGCTGTTATCAGCACCTTTATAAACTAGAAAATGGTATGCTGCACTGTGGGTCATTGTAGCCTTATTCCACAGGCGTGGCTTGGGAAACACAAACTGGAATTTAGCCCCCACCTGCTTCAATGGACAATGTCTTTATGCAGAGAACAACCTGCTCAACCAGACATGGGGACCCTATCACCCTCACTTGTCCAAGAAAAGCAGCCTTTTCTCAAAGACCCACCACAGAGTAGTCCAGAGAAAAAAACCTTTGGCCAGAACTTAAATCTCTCTGTATCTTTTTGCATATTATCCAAGGTAAATAAAGAAAAAAGAAATAAAAATACAGTAACCAGTTGATCTAAGAGAGGCAAAACCCTAAATATTACTCATACAAAATTCTGGTCTATTTCTTTAATGAAAGCTTTCTGCTTGGACTCTAGGTATTTTCTCATCTAAAACGATTAAGACTGGGACACCTGGATGGCTCAGCGGTTGAGCGTCTGCCTTCGGCCCAGGGCTTGATCCTGGAGTCCAGGAGGGAGTCCCACATCAGGCTCCCTGCAGGGAGCCTGTTTCTCCCTCTGCCTAGGTCTCTGCCTCTCTATCTCTCTCTCTCTGTGTCTCTCGTGAATAAATATATAAGATCTTTTTTTTTTATTGGAGTTCAATTTGCCAACATATATAAAATCTTAAAAAAAGAAAAAAACACATGATAAGACTGTCTTATTAGTTAAACCATTAATAGCTTTCCTTTATGAAGAATCTATAATACTAAAACGAACTATTAGTTTAGACAAATCATTGGTTAAGTGGCTCATGTGTTTTCGACATTGGCCATTATTTGGGAGCACAGAAAGAATTAATGATATTTCCATTCATATACTTACAAATTTACGTACTTCATCACAAATTTAATCAAAATCTATACCTCAATTGTCACTTCAACCTCAAGAAAGCCCACATTTTCCTATGAATCTTTTGCCAGTCCTTTTTATAGACAGAATACTTAAATGCTGGGAAAAAATTAAACACATTGTTAAAATTCTTGATTAATTCAAGTACAAATGATATCTCAACATTGATATGACTCTACCTTATAATAATAAATAAATACCACCTTAATATCTCTTCAGAAATCTTTAAATAAATAAATAAATAGATAGATATCACCTTAAGATCTCTTCAGGCAAGTCTATAAGGCTAATCTGTATATATGAAGGAACACAAATGTACACCTCTAAGAAATTAAATACTCTACCTTAATGAGATTAGATCAACAAGCATCAATGGAGGCTGAATTTCTATTTATAATTAATACTTTAGCTACAACATTTTAAAAACAACCATTTTCCAGCTCAACTGAAGTCCAGTGTATCAGGTATAAAAAAATTAGAATTTGAAAAGCTGTATCAAAAGCCTTAAATTCCACAGGAATGTTCCTACTACAGAGCAAGGAGAATATAAATGTTCTCCTTCCACTGGAAATTTTAATTCTGATACTGTAAGCATCATTGTATCTACATGACAGGAGAGAATGCAGATCCAGAAATCACTCCACTTAAGACCACACATATGTAATCTGTTCTGTGTATCAACATTCACAGCCTACAATTTTACCAACTAACTAATGAGATCAATTATAATCAATAATATTTATGAACTTAAAAAGAACTTTTGGTCATCCCCACCTTGGTGAAATCAATCAGGAATTAATATTAAATTGGTAGTTCATGAACTTCACATATTTCTTAAAAATTAAGATTGCTTTATAAAAAGACAAAGTCCCTCTAGAATGCATGACTATAGAGAAAAAGTCCTCTTATACTCAAGAATGCAAATTAGTACAATACTGATAGACAGCAACTGACAATCCTATCAAAATTTATTTATCTTTTTTAGATTTATTGATTTATTTTATGAGAGACATAGAGAGAGAAAGAGGCAGAGACACAGGAAGAGGGAGAAGCAGGCTCCATGCCGGGAGCCCAACACGGGACTCGATCATGGAACTCCAGGATCGTGCGCCCTGGGCCAAAGGAAGAGGGCCATAGGAGGGCCTGGGCCCTCCTATCAAAATTTAAATGCATTTGCCCATTGACTCAGAAATACTACTTCTAAGGATTGTTTTCTATGGATATACTTTACTTGCACCATGTTCAGAAGAACATACATGCAAGTTTACCCACTGGATCACTATCTGTAGAACAAAAACTTGGAAACATACTAGAACTACTTATTTGTACACTTTAAAAGAATGAGTAAAAAAAAAAAGAATGAGTATATTGGTATGTAAATTTTATCTCAACTAAACGAAGAGATTAGAAACAACACAAGTGTTTCCACACAGAGAACAGTTAAATAAACTATGGTACATCCACACAATGAGATACAATGCAACAGCAAACAAGAATGAGGAAGCTTCCCTGTTAGTGAAATAAAAAGTTCGCCAAAATATCTCAGGAAGTAAAAGGCAAGGACAAAATATCTGCTCATATGTGCATCCAGAACATATAAAAGATATGTGACAAATTACTGACATGGTTGCCTGCAGGCAGAGGTAGGAAATAACTAGACAGGGACATGGGTGAAACAAGACTATTCAAAATATTCTAGGTATATTGTTTTGATTCTAGAAGCGTGTAAACATACTGCCAATTCAACACATTACCTATTACTAACTCAAACATATTATCTACTAATTCTTAATGTAAAATTCATATAAAAATGCAGATGCCATGATATTTTACTTTGTTTTAGAAAATGTATGTTTTTGTGATATACAATAAAGTATTTGGGGGGAAACTATCATAGATCAGTACACTAAAGAATGTAGGGGGGTAAAAAACCAGAGCTCTGACAATTTCTTTGTGTCAAATGCCAAGTAGTTGGTAAACACACAAACATTAAAATGCACTCCTGAGTGGGGGTAGAAGGTGCTCGTGTTTGACTGTCAGATCTGGCTAACTGAGGCTCCTTGGCCTGATGTACAGATAAATCCACACAGCTGGGCCCTACTGCACACCAGTCAGCTCGCACACTTCCTTGCTGTCACACAGGTGTCAAATACATCAAGCTGCTCACAAATGCTGCACAAAAGCCAGAGAGTGCAAGACCCAAGCTCTCCCACCTGGTAGAAGGAGCACATGAAGGCCCTTCCATGAGGACTATGCCCCATTTCCAGACCTCTATCAAGGAAACAAAACACATACCTTAATGCCACTCAAAACCACAAAGGTTGAAGCTAGAGGTAGAACTTTCACCCTGAGCCTCTTGACTTGCTGTGAAAAGTTAAGCTATACCTGAGCTTGCAAATCTCATCAAAGAGAGACATGGTTTGCGAATCATACAGTAATTACATAAAAAAGATTAACCAGGTTATGACTCATAATACGCAGAGGTAGCTCACCTACAAATAAAGTATATTTTCTTCAGTCTCATCAGATTACATTGCTAACTACTCTTATCCTTTATCCATTTTTCATTTTCAACATAATTTTTAACCTATGAATCATATTTTGTCAGGTTCGATAAAAATCTAATTTTGTTCTTAGATACTTTTCAAGATGCAGTCCCAAGTAACAGCTTATGAATATTTAGTGTAAAAACAATCACCTGATCTTTGGAGGGTTTCAAGTAGTAAGTGGAAAAATTGACCTAGTCTTTAAGCAGGGCATTGAGAGAGTATGTAAAACCTCCCTGAGGAAGATACATCAAACTAACGCCACAAAGACGAGTAAAAACTAGCTAAGCCAAAAGTAGTATAAATAAATATTTCATATACCCATATGCCATATTTGCTTTTAATGAAAGGAAAAACAACGTACTTTAACCACTTTAAGAAACTTAGTATTCACTTTCCCCTGCTCGCTGAAAATAATGGCATGGCGAAAATAAAGAGAATTTGGAGGAAAGAGTAGAATTTGAGTCCAGACTCATCACTTCCCACATGTGGTACACCCAAATCGACCTCTCTGGATTTCAGTGTACTCATCTGTAAAAGACTGTTTC